AGGGCCTAGGATGGGGGAGTTTCCATGAGAAAGGAAAGGTCATAGGTCACAGGGGGCAGACAGTCATGGAGGAGTGGTGATGGGGAAGGGACAGCAGAGACAGCCTAGCTGGGAACTGGGGCCCAGGCTGTCCTCACTCGGCCTGTAGTGTGGAAAATGGTGCTGGGGCTCCTGGAGGCCCTTCCCTGGGCCTGAGCCCTGGTCTCAGAATCAGAAAAGCTGGGAACCCGAGATAAGCCTCTTAGATTTCCTGAGCTCGACGACGACGACGACGACGACGATGATGATGATAATCGCCTCTTAGATTTCCTGAGCTCAACGACGACGACGATGATGATGATGATAATAGTAACAATAGTAATTGGCAGCAGCACTATATAAGTATTTGCAGTTATGCACCTGAAATCATTCTAAACATCTTACATATGTTAACTCATTTAATCCTTACAACTACCCTAGGATAAAGGCACCATTATTATGCCCATTTTATATATAATAGAACTGAGGCTCAGAAGAGTTAAGTGATTTACCCAAGGATACACAGATGATAAGAAGCAAAGCCAGGGTTTGAATTCAGGCCTTGACTCCAGATTCTATGTTCTCAATTAGTATATGATGCTAATCCATTCTCATAAGCAACATTATCAGCCCTGGAACAATCTTTCACCTTTTTCTGGGCTCAAATTTTCAAGATTTTTTAAAGAGATTTGTTTTCTCTTTTTGGTTTTACATTGCTTTATCTTTTTCTCCTCTGCATTTTAGAATGTGCTTTCTTAACATTGATGATATTATCAATTAATTAATAGGTCATATTTAGTAATCAATTATTAATAGGTCATATTTAGTAAGAGCTACACTGGGCCAAGTTCTGTGCTGATCAGCTTTCTGTCACATCCACCCTAGGAAGTAGGTCCTGTTGTTGTCCCCATTTTACAGATGAGGAAATTGAGCTTCAGAAGGAAGAAGTCATTTGCTTAAGGTCACAGAGCAAGTGAGTGAAAGAGTGGGAACTTTAACTCAGGTGTGCCTGTCTCCAAAACCCATATTCTCAACCCTGAGCCCATACCACCTCCCAAATGACATCCCTCGATCCTAAAAACCACTCGAGGGATAGTTATAAAAAAGACCAGAGAAGGGTAGCCACCAGCTCCAGGCAACACAGAAGGTGGGTGGCAGAAGCAGGAACAGACCTGGGGTCTCCTGTTTCCCACTCCAGGACTCTCTGTGCCCCACTTCCAGGGCTCACGGAGCTGAGGAAAGGTTCCTGGCCCTCCCCCAGAGTGCAGCTCACCTGTGCAGGCCACAGCAGCAAAGACCCGGAACTGAGGAGAGGTTCCTGGCCCTCCCCCACATCCCAGAGTGCAGCTCACCTGTGCAGGCCACAGCAGCGAAGACCCAGCACTGGCCGTACTTGACATTCTGGCAGCCATAGTTCTTCCAGCGCCGCAGGATGTCCACACTTCCGATCCAGAACATGGGGCTGATGCCATCCTTGTAGTTGTTGTCCCAACGTCCCATCAGCACACCCTGGTCATCATTGCAGTTGACCTGCAACCAGCAGGGCATCAGGTGGACCAAGTATGGGAAGAGGGGCTTGGTGCCACCAGAGTGAGCCCATGCTCACTCAGCAGGTAGTGAAAGGCAGGGAAGGGCATTCTAAGATGAGGGAGCAGCAGGTACAAAGGTACCAAGCTGTGACAGACTGCTATACATTGGAGATGGTTGGGGCTGGAGCCAGGGGTGCAGGAAGAGAAGAAGGGAGGAGGCGAAGAGGGATCAAGGTCACGAAGGCGATGCTGGAGATGTGAATTTGTCTACTGCGTGGCAGGAGAATGACACTGTGTGATCTGAGCTGTACGAAGACCAGTTCTGGGCCCTGCCCAGATTGTGTCATTCCCCCCAAACTCCCACTCCCTCGAGAATAAAATCCAGCCTCCTGACCACAGCCCACAAAGCCTCTGCGGTCCGGCCCCTGCCCATGTCTGCAGCCTGCTCGCACCCTGCCCTCTCTTGCTCACTCCACTCCATCGTGTTGGCCTCCTTTCTGCTCCTCGAACCTGCCGAAGTTGGTCCCTCCTCAGGGCCTTTGCACAAGCTGTACCCTCTGCTTGGAATGCTCTTCTCCTCTCAGTTATTATATCATCTCAGAGGTCATCTCTCAGGGGAGTCCTCCCACCCCTCGCTGAGGTTAGGCACATGTCTGGGTTCCTTCAGTGCTTGTGTCATGATTTATGACTGTGCGCCCATTCCCGTGACATTTTGACTAAGGTCTGCCTCCTCCCACCCTCCCATTAGAACATAAGCTCTATAAAGTTAGAGACCACACAGGTCTTATCCACGACTGTTTCTCCGGTGCTTGTGACACAGTGGCCCATGATAAATAGTTGCTGAATGAATGAATGAATGAATGAATGAATTGCTTTGAGGGATCACATGGCATCATCTTCATCTGGGTAAATCTTGTCTTTCTAAATACAAGTTCTCTTAGCTGAGACTTACCCATCTCCTGGATCCCCTCACTGTGCCCTGTCATGGGCCCCTGGGGTGGGCCCTGCCACTCACTCACCATGCCGCTCACCACCCGGCCCACGTAGACAGGGCTGCTGCGGCGGGAGCAATCGCGGCCACTGTCCTTCAGGAACTTGGGGTTGATGTCCAGGAGCATCAAGCAGATGTCCAGAATCCCATCTTCAAACTGTGTCAGAGGAAATAAGAGGAAGATGAAGGGGATGAGAAGCCACCTCCTCCAGGAAGCCTGCCTTGAAGCCCAGCAGCTGTAAGACCTCTCTGCTCTGTCTCACATGCCAGACGGGGAGGCTTGGGCCAGGTCTGCCCTAACTCCGTGATGCCAGGCCCGGGACAGGGTGGGATAGGACAAAGACTGAGTGTGTGGGAAAGGGAAAGGGGATGTGCCTGCATCCAGGGCCTGGCTGAAGGGTCCTGGGAATTTGGAGTGAAGATTGCAGAGTGGGGAGCCCAGTGTCCCTGTGGCTTCCCTCCCCTCAGAGTTACCTCAGGCCCTGTCACTGACCCTTTCCCTTCTCTGCTCAGCCAAATCTCCCACTTCCCCTAAGGCCTGACTCACCCTGCAGAGCTGAGGAGTGTCCCTTTCTCTCCCACCCCAACCCCACACTCTGCTCTGATTGGAGCTGAGGTAGATTATATGCAGGATTTTTTTTTTTTTTTCAGGCGAGGCAACTGTTGGTTGATCTCACAGATTGCAAGGATCTTGTCATCTTACAATCCCTAATTTTTTTATTTTTTTACGCCTACAGCACCTGGTCTTCCTAGGTGGTCTCCCCTCCAAGTACTAACCAGGCCCGACCCTGCTTAGCTTCCGAGATCGAAGGTGAGGTAGATTATAAAAATATAAATCTAATCTTATCACCCCTCTGTTTCTACTGCAATCGGAGTAAAATCTAGACTTTTTCCTGTGGCCTGCGAGGCCCTTGGTGATCTGTGTCCACCTTCTCTTTCACCTCATCTCTCATCAGCCTCAGCCACACTCCCTCTGCTCCAGGCTCACTGCCTCAGGCCCTTTGCACTTGCTATTTCCTTTGCTTGGAATGTTCTTCCTGCCGCTCTCTATATGGCTCACACCTTTTCATCCTTACAACTCAAATGTTATCTTTATCAAAAGTCGGACCCCCTCCTTATCACCTTCCACCAGACCACCCATCTGTCGCGTTCAAAGGCTCTTCCGTCTGCCCTCTGCTCCCCATCTCTGTGGTCTTGTCTCAAACCAGGCCTTGTCACAGAGTTCCTTTCATGTTACAGAACAGACACGGCTTCAATGCTTCTGTGTCTCTCTATTGCCATCAGTCTGACATTGAGGCTGTTCACAACCTGGACACTGCTGACTTCTCCCACTTTATCTCCTGGGGTTCCTTATAAGATGCTCCCCAAGCTACAACAGACTCCTTAGGCATAGATTTTCCTGCCTCCAAGCTTTTGCTCATGTAGTTTCCCTTTGCCCCAAAGACCGTGCACCCACCTCCTTCAAAGCCTAGCTCACATTGTGCCTGTGTCAGGAACTGCTCTGACCCCCTGGGCAGTTATCTCTTCCTTCCTTTAGGTCTTATCATCGTGGATTGTGATGACTTCCGGAAGCTTTGAGAGGGCCATGTCCCATGGCTTAGTGCAGCTTGGACACAGAACAGGGACTCAGAACAGAAATTGAAAGGGCTTTGTTCTGTTTCTCATGGGAGAATACAGAGCGCTGGGAAATAAGAGCCAATTCATTTTTGGATGAATTTTAGGTAAGCCAGTCACACCACCATTTTATTTATGTCTCACAAAAGGCTACAGGGTTTGGGGGCAGATATTTTTGCAATTATTACTCCCAAGATTCAGATCAGGAAACTGAGGTAAGAGTCCCAGATCACATGGGAAGGACTTTTCTGTGGTCCCAAGGCAGGACACCCTATGCCTGAACATGGACCCTGATCCAAGGCTGCTGGGAGAATTCTCAAAGTGAACCCCACCCCGCAAGCTAATACCCACTAACACACCAGGATATTGAGGGACCAGGAGTGTGATGGTTCTTGCTTCATGACGTTTCTTAGCAATGTTTCAGGAATTTTTAAGAGGGACTGGATGGTAGAGGAAATCAGGGCACTTGTTCGGAGAACCAGCCCAGATTGGCCTACTGGGGGATGAAGAACCACATGAAACAGAGAGGCGCCATCCAGCGGAGGTCAGCCAAGCCCAGCCTGGACATCCATGCCCTGGCTGACCCAGAGATTTCCAAGAAATAATAAATGATTGTTGTTTTAAGCCTCTAAGGTTTGGGCTTAATGTGCAGCTGGGAGTGAAAATTACAGCAATGATGCTCCAATCATAGTCCTACTAGACCAGAAGCATCAGCATCACCTGGGAACTTGTTAAAAATGCAAATTCTCAGCCCAGACTGAGACCTGCTAAATCAGAAACTGGTGGTGGGCCCAACGATCCATGGTTTACACACTTTTCTGGTGATTCTGAAGTATATTCAGGTTTGAGAACCACTGATCTCGATAACAGTTTAAAGTCCCCTCTCAGCACATGCCTAGCACATAGTAAGCGCTCTTCAAGTGCTGTCTATTATTTTGATATATGGCCTTGAATGGTTCCCTTCTCCCTTCTGAAACACCTGTCAGCCTACAACTCCTAAAGGC